CCTTCCCCTGGAGTGGGGAGGGAATGGGGATTTTATAGTATCCTTTCCCTGCCACGCCCACCAAGCCGTGCCACACCCACAGAACCAATAGTAAAAAAAATAGAATCCTACCACTCATTCAGATGTATTGTTCAGGTCAGTCATGGCAAGTACTTATTTTACAATGCTATCAGAAAAATACAATATAACCCATGATGGGGACACCTTGATTAGATTTAGATTAACAGAGTTAGAAGGGACCTTGTAGATCATCTAGTCCAACCCTCTGCCCAAGCAGGAGACCCTACACCATTTCCAACAAATGGCAGCCCAGTCTCTTCTTGAAAGCCTCTAGTGATGAAGCTCCCACAACTTCTGAAGGCAACTTCTTTTCCATGGGTTGATTGTTCTCACTGGCAGAAAATTCCTCCTTATTTCTAGAGTGAATCTCTCCTTGATCAGTCCCCCCCCCCCCCGTTAGACTAGAAACACAAAAAGCATGAAGAATGTGCTCTTTCTCCTTTTGGATTAGTTTGTGTGCAGTGAAGATGATCACACTTCCAATCTTCCGATGGAGAAGAGAATCATATCTTCTCAAACTAAGCCAAAGGAAGAAACTGATTGTGGGAGAGTTCGTATTGAAGGAATATCATCTTGAATCAATACAATTTGACATGAATCAACACAATTTAGTCTTTTTTTTGCCGCTATACTAAAGTTTAGATGATGCTGAGTGTGATGTCAGTTTTTAAAAGGTAATTAGAATGGGTCCAGAAAATTACAGATTGGCACACACATGGCTTGTTCTAAATTTGACTGAAAAGTTTTATTAATGACTGAATGACCAAACATACAGAAAAAACAAATCTTACTGAAGAATCAACATGAATTTGCAAAGACCTGCCCCAGTAGTCTTTTATAGTTCTTTAAAACCCTAAGAAACAGAATACCCTGTGATGATCCAATCCATTTTATTTATTTGAATTTTGATAACAGTATATCTGTGGGAAAAAGTCTTCAGCATCTTCCCTTCAGCATTCTGTTCCTATGGGGGTCTAAGGGACATCCACTGGTTGAACATAAGTTCAATATTTCCTACCTACTTATATCAAGAGACCTTCCATTCTCATATTGGAGGTAATTTAGATTCATTCTGACCAACAGTAACTTCTAATCTTATTTGCTATGAATATGTCTTATCCCCTCTTAAAAATAGCCACAGTTGCAGCAATCATTATTATCTTGCAATAGGGATTTTCTCTGTTTAAGTAAAATTAAAATTGAATTAACATTGTTTCGAATTTGCTTTTCCAATTCTTCATGTTTCAGTGTTATGAGAACCTTTTCTTATCCACTTTCTCCACACTTTATATAATTATCTTGTTTCTTCTTATCTACCTTTCCTTATTAAATTAAAACATATCTGGAAGTCATGGATATCATAATTTTTCTCCGTGCTCTCAAATAGTTCTGCCAGGTGTATAATTTTTCTTTTATCAGCAAGTTCTCACCAATTATAGATTAATCTAAAAAACAGGAGAGGTCCGTGGGTGCTTATTTTTACCCCAAACATGGAGAAGATGTGAGGAAAACCAGGACATTTATTATAAAAGCTTTAGGCAAAAACCTCTCATACACTAAATGGTAGTGTCTAGCTCACTTTGGCTTATAGCTAAAAGAATAGGGGTTAGATCTGGTTAATACTTTCTTCGATGATTAAGAAAAGTATCCTGGAACAAGGTAATGGATTTTAAAACACCTACATGGTTACAAAAAAATAGACCCCCCAACCCCAGGGAATCTTTACCTTTAAGACAAGAGCTGGACTTGTTAATCATGAGTAAAATAGGATTCTGAATAGGCTGCCTTCCCATCACAACAATGTATTTTTAGCCTATCTACAATACCATAACACAGGCACTGTGTTTGGACCATAAATTAATCACACAGCCTGTGTTCTTACAATAACATCAGGATAGAATATCTTTGGCTGTTCTATTCTGATACAGTGGGTTGTGCAAACGTATCCAGACAGCAACCAGCTCGCAGTCTTTTGAACGAATTCGTGTATCATTTAGAGATAACGGATCAGAGTCAGTAGCCCCACAAATCTAAGATGCTGATTGGAGGAAGCATAGTTTTGTAACAGGTGGGGCCGAAAGAGCAATGTGCTGGGAGAGAGCCTGCAGTGCAGGACGGATCCCCCCTCCCATCCTCGAAGCTGTGTGACCTTGCAAGGGTCATTGCCTGCCCACCCAGTTCTGACAAACTCAAACTCAAACCTGCCCACCCAGTTCTGACAAACTCAAACTCAAACCTTGCAAAGAAGCTGCCCCAAGGATAAAACGCCTCATCGTCCTTCTCTCCAACCAGATCCTATTGTGTTACAGGGAGCTGTTGGTAGCAAGCAGACTTGGGCTAAGCTTCTTGCAGAAGACAGCTCCGAGAAGGTGTCGAACCACTGTTCCCCAATCCCGTTGTTTCCCACATCCCCTAGATGGAAGGAAAGGGCGCGGGCTTTTGAGAAGCACCCAAGCCGATGCGCGGGAAGGGGACGCTTCCCCCAGCGATTCTGCGCGCCTATATTTGGAGGCAACCCTTTCTGGGCACCAGGACCGATTACTGCAAAGTAAGGATTACAATCGCAGTCGCCGCCCAAGGGATGGACTCTTGCATTCTTCCCTTCTTGCGCCTGCTCTCTCTCAGTAACATGTTGCTCCCTTGCTTTGACCTGTATAGCAGCCAAGCGGGCGCCTCTCCCTGTTGCTGCTAGCCCAGCAAGGCTGCTTGTTCGGGGCTCTCACGCGGGGAAAGAGACCCCTCCTTCGTTCCAGAACAGCGCACTCCCCTCGCTCGTCTCCTTCTCCTCGCTCCTTACAGGAGGGCAACCGCGTGGGCGATGGCGGCGCCGACGGACTGACTGGAAAGGCGGGAGAGGCGGTATCCAGCCTGCCAGAAGATGTATTGAGCCGGGCGGTGGCCGTGGAGCTGGGCGGGTCGCTCTGGCCGTCCGCTTGGGGTCTCGCTTGCTCAGCCGCCGGGGAAACGGTCTCCCCTCCGCGCTCTTGTCACATTTATGGACGAGCACCTGAGTCTTCTGCGCTCGCCGGCCGCCCCGTCTTCCTGCAAGCATTCGAGGGGCGGCAGCAGCAGCAGCAGCGTCGGCGTTGTCGTGGGAAGCAGCCACCATAACTTGGGCTACAGCGAACAGCTCTTCCCCGAAGGCGCGCTTTCCGCCCCTGAGGAAGGGCAGGAAGAAGAGGAGGGCGACGCCGGGGACGAGGAGGAAGAAGAAGACGACGAGGAGGAGGACGGGCAGTTGGAGGGTGGCATGACTGTAGTGGGTGGAGAGGACCCCCTTATCGATGAAAACCAACATCCCCATGCCCTGCTGGGAGGGGAGCGTTATGACCACCCTCTCGGCCATTCCCTGCCTCCCCACAGTCATCACCAAGTGGGCACCGGTGGAGAGGAGCATGAGTGTTGTGAGAGGGTCGTGATCAACATCTCAGGTCTCCGCTTTGAGACCCAGCTCAAGACACTGGCCCAGTTCCCGGAGACCCTGCTGGGTGATCCCCGCAAGAGGATGCGCTACTTCGACCCTCTTCGCAACGAGTACTTTTTTGACCGCAATCGGCCCAGCTTTGATGCCATCCTTTACTATTACCAATCTGGAGGCCGCATCCGCCGCCCTGTTAATGTGCCCATTGACATCTTTTCAGAAGAAATCCGTTTCTATCAGTTAGGCGAAGAGGCAATGGAAAAATTTAGAGAAGATGAAGGTTTCATCCGTGAGGAGCAGAGACCTCTGCCTGAGAAGGAGTTTCAGCGCCAGGTGTGGCTCCTTTTTGAGTACCCAGAGAGTTCCGGACCAGCTCGGGGCATTGCTATTGTATCTGTTTTAGTCATCCTCATCTCCATTGTCATATTTTGTCTAGAAACCTTACCTGAGTTCAGAGATGATCGTGACTATGATAGTACTGCAGGAACATTTGGGACTGGGAGTAGTTCTTTTGTGACTGATGTTTTCACCAATACTTCTTCCCCAGCTACATCTATAGTGTCATCCTTCACTGACCCTTTTTTTGTGGTGGAGACACTGTGCATTATCTGGTTCTCCTTTGAGCTGCTTGTCCGCTTCTTTGCTTGTCCCAGCAAGCCCACCTTCTCCAAGAACATTATGAACATCATTGACATTGTGGCCATTATACCTTACTTCATCACCTTGGGCACTGAACTGGCCGAGAGGCAGGGGAATGGTCAACAAGCAATGTCTCTGGCTATTCTCAGAGTCATCCGGCTAGTTAGAGTCTTCCGTATCTTCAAGCTCTCTCGGCACTCCAAAGGGCTGCAGATTTTGGGGCAAACTCTGAAGGCCAGTATGAGGGAACTGGGCTTGCTCATTTTTTTCCTCTTCATCGGTGTTATCCTCTTTTCTAGTGCCGTCTATTTTGCAGAAGCTGATGACCCCACTTCAAGTTTCAGCAGTATCCCTGATGCCTTTTGGTGGGCTGTGGTAACCATGACCACTGTGGGTTATGGGGACATGCATCCCGTCACTATTGGAGGCAAAATAGTAGGATCTCTCTGTGCCATCGCCGGTGTGCTGACTATTGCCTTGCCTGTTCCAGTCATTGTCTCCAACTTCAACTACTTTTACCACCGGGAAACAGAAGGGGAAGAACAAGCTCAGTACATGCACGTAGGAAGCTGCCAGCACCTCTCCTCCACCGAGGAGCTGAAGAAAGCTCGTAGTAACTCCACTCTCAGCAAGTCAGAGTATATGGTGATAGAAGAGGGAGGCATCAGCAACAGTGCATTCAAACAGGCTGCTTTTAAAGCAAACAACTGCTCTGGCACAAACAATCCCAACTGCGTGACTATTAAAAAAATCTTTACGGATGTTTAAAAGACACCCTTTCACAGAGATTGAAAGAAAATCACAGGAAGTTTGCCTATTCAGTATGTGTGAGGAACATGCATCATTGTCAGTCTTTGTGCTCTTGCTTAGTACATATACTTTTCTGGTCCTCCCTTCTGAAGATAGAATATTTTTTTAGAAGAACAAAGGACCAAGGAGTTATTAAGAAAGAAGGTAGATAAGCTACACAAGAAATGTGTTGTTGCTGCGCCCTTTGGAAACAGGTTTTTATTCTGCACAGGTTGTTGCAGGGCATTGGGATTTTAGTGAGAAACGTGTTTGTCTGATTTTATAATGAGCAGCTACACTGTTGATTTGCTTTTCTTTTACGTATACACTTATTGGATTGAAAGGAGCATAGTGTAAGGATAATGAATGTAACTGTGCTCCAGTGAATGAGAAAAATAAGGTGATATAAATGTCACCAACTATCTCCCATTGTAATGGGATGGCCACAATTGAAAATCTGATGTACGAGCTTGCAATCTTGATTTTTTTTAAAAAGGTTAGAGCCATGTGTATTCTGAATCTGCCCCTGACATATGCCGTATCACTTTAATACAACAAGGGAAACGCCTCCGTTGCGATTTTGGATTTCTTTGATCCCTGAATTCCCAAAGAATTGCAACTTTGAATCTGAAGTGCTACCTGAGTATTGTAGTATTACTTCTTCCTACACAGTGCGACTGAACAATTGACGGACTGACTCATCATATCCTGATGATCTGAATATGATAAATTATTTAGTTTTGAGTAAATTTCTAGCAGGCTTTTATTTTGATTGCAGCTTCAAAAAGCAAAAGAGGTATTTCCATAATTGTCCAATGCATGTAAGATAAGCGGTTGCATCTATCACAAGAAGATTAAAGTGAGAAACACACCTTGCAGCGGAAGTTACTAATTTGGACCTGAGTGGTACAGTTTCCATAGCAACTTTGGTTTCCTGGGAAACTCCCAAAGGTTGTCACAGCATCCATTCTTTCCCTCCCTCAGTCTTCTGCTGTTTCTATAGTAACCATTCCAGATGGTTCCAACTTCTGTGGCTCCACAGAAAAGCTGCTGCTCTGATAAATCACACACACACACAGACACACACACACACAGACACACACACACACAGCCACAGAATTGTACACCATTAATCCCTAAGAGATTTAGTTGTGGAAGTTAAGCATTATTCTGTATGTATCATTTTTAGATGAGCAAAATTTGAGATGGCTGCACATCATGAAGAAAAGAGTTAATATGGATTTTTAAAATAACTGTACTTCACATTATAATATAATTAAACACCAAAAGCAAAGAATTTATCCCCTGCCAATCATCCACATCTCTTGCACTTTGATACCTGGAATTCATTCTAAATGAGTTTCCAGAGTTACCTGTACAACTGCATAGAAGGTTTAAAAAGATGGCATTGCACTCTTCTTTAATCAGAATAAATCATATAATATTGATTTATAATAATTCTTTATTGCATATGACCTAGCATTATGCAAAAAACCCTCTTTTTCAAAGCATGTACAGCATTCAAGATCAAGACCAAAACATTGATTACAAAAGGATGCAGATCTGGAACATAATGGTGATGAAGTATTGGTTTAAAAATACTTAAAAGTCCTCTGGGAAATGTATATCCATCTTCTCTCAAGTACACATCTGCGGCTATGGAGTATCAGACAGACACAGGTGAGCTGTTTGCTATGCAGTTCAAGGAGAATTGCTTTCCCTAAGATAATTTGTGAAGATGTCATTTTGTGATCAGTAAGGAAAAATAATGGAATTAAAACAAAAGCCTGTTGTGTGCCTTTTATAGATGACATACAGCTTTATTTAATTTTAATAACCTAATCAATTTTAAGGATTTTATTATAATACTCTTCATTTGTTTTAGTATAGGTCTCTCACCTTTAATTTTAGAAACACAGAAAAACTGTGTTGAAAGATAGCTTCTGCTATATCTGATTTCAGAATATTTAATTGGCTCTACATCTCTATGAAGTACAGTTTAATTTGCTATATGCTGATTCTTCTTAATATTCCTTTCCATAATACTTTATTATATTTAACGTTAGTTCTTATACAATTTTATAGACTTAATTGCATGTTTTGGGAGGAAAATGGAATTTGTATGTGTTGGTCCCATGCAGTATTTATATCTACTTTGTTTTTTAAAAAAATCAAGAAGTTCAGTTCACTGCAAGAAATTACTTGGCCATATCCTCAGCTATCTGTGACATTATATGGAGCTTTGTAATTTCTGCCAGATGATAATATCTGTAGGATCAGAGGACTTTGCTTATGTGTCTATGAATTTCACATTTTTATATATCAGGTTTTACAGAGAGGATAAATACAGTAATGAATGACTATTTCATCCTCAAATCAAATTTATTAAACATATACTATTAACACAGACCAAAATCTATTTGGGTAGGATAAACATTTAATATGAGCTTTGACATTTTCCCATGAACACCTTCCCCCACCATTCTGTTTTCTTTGTCCAAGTAAGTGTCCCGTTGCTTATTTAGCCAAAGTAGCATCATCAATGTGGAAGAGATAGTACATTTTAAAAAGTCCATAGTTAAGAGAACTACAAAAAATACTTAAGGAAAAAACTTAGGGGACAAATATCACAAATTCTAAGGAAGCTTAATGTGAGTGGCAATCTCTGCTGACTATTGGGATGATAAAGTAAGATAATGAAGAGAAGGATGAACGATGCATTCTGGAAAACATAATTACTTGCTGTTTAGAATCTTGAACAGAAACATTTCATGCTTCATTTTGTGATAGGTTTTATTCCTCGCAATCTACTTTGAAGTTCTTTTTGTCTCCAAAGAAGCTCATCAGGCAGCAGAGGATCTAATATTTAGCAGAATTATTTAGTATCGTTCTTTGAATCTAGTTCATTATAATGAATAGGAACTATCAGTTCAAGAAATGAATAATGTATTGTATTTTGATTTCTCCCCTTTATTCTAAAATAATGGGAGTGAGACTGCTTTGTTTTTTATTATTAGTTAGGACACATGAATTTAATTCAGATGACACGTAAGAAGTGAGAACTGTTTTTATTGAAGGTTCTATCCACAAATGAAACAGAAAAAGGTCATTTAAAAATAGCTCACTAAAATGGCTCCTTCAATTCTTTAGTAGCAATATCTTTATAAAATTGTCAGGTTGTTCAAAACAGATGTTCAGTTTCCTTTTTGGTTCATTTCATGTTATTTTATTTTTAAATTCATATTTATCATGAATATTAATGTTTTGTCAATAGAAATGTTAAAGATATGTATAAATTATCAAAATAATAACATACATTTCAATGGTAAATAATGAATAGGCTGTTAATGGGAAGCTTTGCCAACGATTCCAACAGAATATTCTTTGGATTCATTAGAATAGGATAGGGTTATCTTTATTCTGTTAATAATTGTAAAACCAATTACTCAGCAAAGCGGTAAACTATTTTTTCTGAATTGATTTTGGCAGAGATTAGATTATTGGGGATGCTTTAATTTGGATTAAAGTTGACCTTAGACAGTGGCTGAACTTCATGGCTGTTTAAATGCCCCCTAAATGATTCTGTTCAATTCAGTAATAAATCTAAAGAAAAGAATAGGATGCTACTTAATCCTATTTTATTAGTGAAATGTCAGATTGGCAATTACGAAAAAGAAAGTCAAGACAGGGACATTCAATTGTTCAAGAGAGAAAATGAAGCATTTAGAAATAGGGGAAGGCAGACGTTAGGTTTACTAGTGTCCAAAGGATGTTGTAATGCATTATTTACAGAGAGAATGCCAAATATCAGTATTTATTAAATGGAAAGCTCATTTAATTGTCTTTTTTGAGGCTACTACCAAAGTCAATCATGGCATATAATTAAAAAAATACAACTGAGGGTCATCCATATATTACCAAGGGTACTAATGATTGTGTTTACCTCATGTAATACTTTCCCTCCATTTTTAATGCTCCGGTAAGAAATTGTCAGTTGCTTTCAATCAAGAAGTAGCAATAATTTTTTCAAACTCTATTAGTTGTACATCCTAAATCACCCCTGATGTTTATCTGAGAAAAGAGTAAGGAGGCAATTAAATATTTTCCCTCTCCTATTGCCATTCTAAAGAAATTAATCCTTCTTATGAGTGCATTTCACCAAGAGTAGAAAATCTGTTTCAGATCTGTCTACATTATGTGCAATTTGGCATATAGCCAGTAAATGTAACTTGCATATATCAAAACTGTAGCATAAAACATCATCACTTTCTTGCCATGTCTAGAAATCAAGGACAAATATTTTTGTTTTGCTTTTGTTTAAACTGTAAGCCACTTCGTAGAATAGTTTTAAGGCCTAAAAAGTGCCATAGAAATAATATTGTAATTAAATAAAAAGGAGATATTTCATTCATAGCATGCAGTGAGCACTGTAAAAACAAGAAATACCCAACAATTAGAGAAAATAAGAAACTAAGGGCTGACAAACAACACCTTTTTTCCTCAGAGCTCTTGCAGTTTCCCAGCCTCAAGTTTTAACTCTACCTTTGCAATTGGAACCGCAACGATAAAATACTTCACAAGGTAAGCAAGATATGGGACCTCATCAGAAACTTGTAAAGTATGCTTCACAATGTGACTCCTACACCTCTTCCACCTTTCTTCTAATCAGTCTCTCCCAAGAAAAGCCATGGCTGTATGGAGCAACAGTTGCCCTTGTTTTCCCTTGTCCTTGCTATACAGTACTTACAAACTAATACCGTAACTCCCCATCCAGGGATGGGATTCTAGCGGTTCAGACCGGTTCGGGTGAACCAGTAGCTCTGACTATCAGCTGGGAGTGAACCAGTTCGCTCTGACTTAAATAGGCCTGCCCGCCGGCCTCTGCACTATACTTGCCTATATTTCCTTTTCTGAAGCCCAGCTGATCAGCGCAGCAGAGTGGATTGCCATGCCTCAGCTGTTTTCCTTGCCAGTAGTAATGCGGAAGGTGAGTTTTCTGTAAACTGCATGCGCAAGGCATCAGGCGTGAAGCAAACTGGTTATTAAACCGGTAGGATCTCACCCCTGCCCCCATCCCTCTGCTTCACTCCACTAATGGTGCAGGGACTCTGGAGACCAATGAACCATAGAGAGGAATACTATATCTATTCTAGACAAACTCCTATGATCTGCTAGTGAAAGTAATGGAGACCACCACCTCTTTTCCTTGTAAAAAGTCTTCCCTGTTGTGACTGCTGACCAAATGTTCATTATGTATTCCTTTTTATCAGATGAGAGCCAAAGTAAATGGAGCAGAACAAATTGAAACTGCAGACAACAGTTTCCTTCCTTACAGCAGATGGGTGAGTATCATTGTAATGACTACACTGTCAACCTCAACAGGGGGAGCTTTAAACACAAGTAGCATTGAACAAAAGCCCATCTTTTTCTCACTTTGGTCATTCATGCGTCATTCTTAGGAGTTGCTACTTGCTTCTGTTCCCTCTTATTCATCACCATCCTCTGTTTTTCTTATCTCCACAGGCTACCAGGCAGCCATTCAACATTCATAGAGGCATAATATTATGCAGACCACCAGTAAGGTTAACAATTAGAAGTGGAAATTACCAATGGGGATTCAACTGTGTGCCTCTGTGGAGTTGCTGGCTTCACGTTCCCAGTGCTCATGTTTCCAGAGCAGTGTTTCTCAACTTTAGCAACCTTAAGATGTGTGGAGTTCAACTCCCAGAATTCCCCACACAGAAGGCTGGCTGGGGAATTCCGGGAGTTGAAGACCATACATACTTACTTATTTACTTATTTACTTATTTATTTATTTATTTTGTCAAGCGTGTATAAGATAATAGATATAAGTAAATACAAGATTATGAATACATAAAATGGATAGGAATAAATGAGGTTGTTAGGACAAGGACGATAGGCACGTTGGTGCGCTTATGCACACCCCTTACAAACCTTTTAGGAATGGGGTGAGGTCAACAGTAGACAGTCTAAGGTTAAAGTTGTGGGGGTTTGGGGAAGAAATCACTGAGTCAGGTATTGACCACTCTGTTGCTGAAGTCATATTTTCTGCAATCGTGTTTGGTACGGTTTACCTTAAATTTGTATCTATTGTGTGCTTGTGTATTGCTGTGGTTGAAGCTGAAGTAGTCATTGACAGGTAGAACATTGTAGTAAATAATTTTATGTACTACGCTTGGGTCAGACTGAAGGTGACATAGTTCTAAGCCGTCTAAGCCCAAAATCTCAAATCTGGTGGCATAAGGTATTCTGTTGAGGACGCTTCTCGTGAAATATCTCTGGACTCACTCAATTGTATTAATATTTGATATGGAGTGTGGGTTCCAGACAGATGAGCTGTATTTGAGAATTAGTCTAGCAAATGTTTATTAAATCTTAATAAATATATAAATTTTAAGGTTATTAAGTTTGAGAAACATTGTTCTAGAGTAATATAATAGGTACAATGTAGCCTAGCGTAGACATAAGATGATGAGGAATATTGGTTTTATGATATAAACTGTATATCTCTTGTAGTATTTAAAGGCATAGTTTCTGCAGAGGCTTAGGCATGGCCTCATCACCATTCTCCTATGTATCAGTTAGAGGTAAGCATGACTTTAATGATGTTTAATAAAAGCTGTGAAGCTTTGTTTTCAGCCGTGCCTGGTTTCTTATAAGACCTGATAGAAAGATAATCATTACCTTCCAGTTGTTACTGTTGTTTGTATGAACTGGAAAGACATATTAATCATAATTTGGGTAACACCAGCAATTGCTGACAAATGAGTATTTACGTACACCCGTGGATTTGGCAAAATGAGAGATGGTGTGAATATGTTACTCTAATGTCTCAGATGCATGTTTAGCTCTTCTGGGTCATTTCTGATCCTGGGGCCATGATTGAATTTGAGCTTTTTACCCATCTAAGTCTTGGCTACTTCATGTTGGCTTCATTTGGGAGTAGTAGAGAGTATGGCACCTGTCCAGGAGCCCTCTCTGTGCTACAGATAATGGAATTTGTAATCATATACCCGCAGAGTAGAGGATAGGGAGAAATGATAGCTCTGGCTACTGACCTGGATACCTATTTGCTTTCTGAAAGTAGTAGTAGTTTCCTATGAGATGTCCAGGATCTAAGGTGTATTTTATGGATACCTCTCCATGAGATGATTTTAAACCACATTTTGTGTTTCCCATTCCCCTACATACTGAACCAATGGGCAGTTTACAGAAATTTCTCCTCTGCATTTTTTGTATTAACTTTCTTTTTTCCTTGGATGTATGTCCCTTCACCTTTCCCTTGAGAAAGGATGGATTTCTTTCCGGAGAAATATGTTTCTTGAATACTGAATCATTTCTCTTAAGGGAATTCTTAAATACAGGTTTGCAACATCATGGTGGCTTAAGTAGGAAAAAGACCCTGTAATATCCTAATGTATAAAGATTATACAGCAACTGAATGCTTGACATTATGCATTATTTGGCCAACTCTACTTGCTGGTTTATTTCTGTTTGCAAATGCTCAGATTTAACTTCAGAAAGATTTACCTTATTATAGTATTTTGGGAAATTAATGGAGAAAAAGCATTTTATTGCTATTTTTCCATGCATGTATAATGTAGAGCATTTTCCAATGCCATAAGTATGTCTTTCAATGCTGGTATGTTTGCATCTTTTTCTTTAATTATTGCTGTGTTCTTGGCTATGACGGTTGAACATAAGATGGAGCAATGTTACCCTGAGTTTGTTGTGATATAATAGCTATTTGATTCCTATAATAAAGAATGGTCAATATCAATCTTACCAATAGTATTTGAACTTTCTGAACAAACATGCAGATTCTGTACTAAGTTTTATGCTTGGTTTTCAGTTCAAAATTGCACGAGCAATGCATATGTTACAGACATTAGCACACAAAAGGGTATATGTTAGGAAAGTCTGTAAATACATTGAGGGACAGATGTATATGATGAATTTGTTGTGGGAAACATGTATGAACATACATGTATATCAATTTTCATGCTTTAAAAAACAGTTTGCAGAGAGTGTGGAAACTGAAAGATCAAATATTTCATGTTTTATAATATTTTGTGTATATATTACTGTGTATGTATAGAATATGTATATGTACTGACATACATGCACATGCACACATTATATATATATATATATATATATATA